TCTATGACTCGACGGCATTAAACAACAATAATAATGACGACGACCAAGAGAGAGCTACGTTGGCCTAGTGGAAGGAAGCTGTGCTACCAAGCCGAAGGTGGGTGATTGTCATCTGTGGCCCTCGGCCAGGTTCAAATTGTCTTCCTGTCAAACATTCTTCTAGGTGGTATAGCACTGGTCTGTGCATTGCTGTACAGAGGTAACTCGTGGTTGCTGTGATGCTGAAGCCTGTGACAGTGATGTGTCAGTTCATGGTAATGGGTACCCATGGTGGACAGTGTTGGCTGGAGCTTCCCGACTAAATCAAGCCTGGAAGCGGGAGCGGCATCCACTTCCAAAATGGCTTGCCTCTGGAAACTCTATGTACGAACAGTGCTCAGGCTGTTCATTCATAGGGTTGCTATGAGTCGTCTACGACTCGAGGCACCAAACAACAACAACAACAACATATACTTATTTATACTGTTTTAAAATGAAAGAATAATTGTTTACTTTCTTAGATTTTAAAACTTCTCAAGAGATTTTGACTTACATCATGTTATTCCTAAATCGTACCAAGTACATTGAGAGACCTTATTGTTGTTGTTGTTAGGAGACACTGAATTGAGTATGACTCATAACAACCCTATGAACAACAGACCTGATCCCTGCCCTATCCTGTTCCATCCTCATTATCTTAGACACTCTTAAGCCTGTTACTGCAGTCACTGTGTCAATCCATCTCAATGGGAAGGTCTTCCTCTCTTTCTCTGACCTTTCTTAGAAAGTTCTAACTTATATGAAGTAGCATTTTGAAGAATAGAAAAGGAAAGACGCTACTTATATGCATTTGATCATGCAATGAAATGGCAACATGATATAGAAAGCAGTCTCTACAATTACGTGAGGTAAACCAAACAGTATACTTCTGAATTACTGAGGCATGGGTTATTTTCATGGCACAATTAGTTGTGGTTTGGACTGTTATTGCATATAAACAATAAATTGAGTGGCTTTTGGGATTGGCTAATTTTATCAACTAATCCAAAGAATTCTGGTAGCGAAATGGAGAAGCCCTAAGCAGTCAATAAAAAAATGAGTAGATAGTTCAAACGCAGGTGTAAAGCTTTGGAAACCCCACAAGGAAGTTCTACTCTACCCTCAAGATTCATTATGAATCAGAATAAAATTCAAAGTCTTAAAAAAAAAATTCGAAGTCTTTGTTTCTTTAGGGTTTTATAAAAACAGGAACTGAACTACAGGAGTCCTAGTAGCATGATGGTTAAGACTTTCTTGTGAAAGACCTACAAAGATCACAGTCTAGAAAAATCTGTGGGTCTGTTACACTGTCACATGGGGTCACCGTGAGTCTCAGCTGGACTTGACAGTACCGAACAGCAACAAACCGGAACGAGTTAGAATGGAACTAAGCCTCAGGGCTTCTTCAGATAATTCTCTTCCTTCAGATGCAAGTTCTTTTCTTTCTCAAAACTAGTAATAATTAAAAAATTTCAATGCCATTATAATGAAGAGTGTGAAAACTAAGATCCCTACATCTGGCAGGATACTTGGAGAGGTTTTAACTAAACCTTGAGTGTTGGCCTTTTCTACTTCACTCTTCATCTGCATTTCATTTTACCAGTAACTCTTCAGGAAAATGTGTATAATGTAAAGAGTTTAATAAAGACACCTGTGTAATCACTGTGATAGTTGTATTTGTATCTGAAGTATTGATGAAATGCTTTTTTTCGCTAAATGAAACTATGACTAGAAGTTGCCTCCAGCAGGATTAGAATAAAAAAGGAAACTTTTTAATGCATTTGAGCACCAAATTCAACTACTTAGTTTATATAAAAATTAAAATGTTACCAATGAGGGAGTTTTTCTTTTGCTTTTCAAGGAGAGGAGCAAAAGGGAGGGGGAGGGGTTTGTGCGGGGAGAAGGGTGCCACAATGAATGAATGGAATCCCAAAATCTCTGTAGATGTTCATTGAAATGAAAAATAAACAACCTAAATTAAAAAAAAAACACTCTTAAACATATAAACCTTGGCCTGAATCTATAAAAAAAAATTAAAATGTTTACTGAAAAAGTCGGCCCTTAGTGAAATGAAAATACTGTATCCTCTACATACACTTGACACACTTTATCTACATATCCAGACAGCCATGATTGAACCGGATTCCTCCATGCAGCTCAAATATTGGTAGTCAATTTATACTGTTACTTTCAAGTAAGAGAATTCTGGTGGCCTGGTGGTTAAGGAACAGTACTGCAATCCCAAAGACACCAGGTTCAAATCCACCAGCTGCTCCTCAGGAAAAAAAAAGATGGACAAGCTCCTCCCTTGAGGTTTACTGTCTCTGAAAACCTGCTGGAGGATCAGTTGTGAGTTGGTTCCAACTCAACAATACACAACAATAACAATAATGTCCAAGTAAGCACACACTAAAATTCCTTTAACAACTGAAGTGGCATTAGAAAATTACAGAATAGATCTTGTCTAGTACTAAAAACATAGTCCATAAATAAATGTATCCACATAAGAATTTCCATGACATTTGGTTTACTTAAAAAACTATACCATTTTCTGGAGCTCTCATGGCCTAGTGACAAGAAGCTGCACTGTAATCCCAGAGGTACTCGGTTCAAATCCACCAGATTCTCTGCTGGAGAAGGAGGGATAATCTCTTCCTGTACCAGTCAGATCCGATTTGACAGTACACACACACAAAAAATAATTAATTTTTTAAAAAAATTTAAGAAAAAATGATACCATTTTCTGAATATGTAACATAAGGAGAAAAGTGGTGAAATAACAGTAGTTTTAAATTTTTAACAGTTTTTTGTTATTTTATTATTTTTAACAATTTTTTTGCATAATTGAGCACTTTGAGATAATAAAAATAATATGTGAATAAATGCTCTTAAAATGAATATATAAATACAGAGCATATAATGTTTGTTATTCAGTTATTTGTCCTTGCTATTTAATAATAAATACTTGAGTATCCCTTTAAAAGAATACACTTTTAAAAAAAACAAACAACCGAACCCTAAGATTTCCCAATTGACCAGTCAGTTGTTGTTGTTGTTGTTATGTGCCATCAAGTTGTTTGCGACTCATAGCTATCCTATGTACAAGAGCCCTAAACACCGTTCTATACTGTGCCAACCTCGCTGTCTCAAACACATTCATTCCCACCACTCCACTCACAGAATCGATCCATTTCATCGAGGGTCTTCCTCTCCTCGCCGTCCCTCCACTCTGCCAAACATGATGTCCCTCTCCAAGGACCAGTCCCTCCTTGCAACACGCCCAAAGTATGTGAGATGAAGCTTCAGAATCCTTGACTCCAGGGAACATTCTGGCTTCCCCCTCTCCAGGACAAACCTGCTTGTTCTCCTAGCAGTCCATGGTATATTCAACACTCTTCTCCAGCACCACAACTCAAAGGCATCAATTCTCTTTCTATCATCCCTATTCACCGTCCAACTCAGAGCACACTTAGATTATCGTTTGGACCAATCAGTAGAACATTAAAAAAAGAAAGTAAGACTTAGCTTTAACTATCACACAACATTGTTTAAAGGCGCTTCTATTTAATGAAAAATATGTAATTTATTACATTACTTGAGCTTGAGGTTATGTTTTCAAGCGGAGTAAGGACACAGACCTGTGTAACACATCTATTCTTAAGCAGCTATTCTTGAAAGTATCATGCTTCTCAGCCCTTTAAGAAATTTTGCAAGTCATAGATTCTCTAGTCAGAAACTCTTATAGCACATGATTTTGTGCCTTTGGGATTTCGAGGTGCTATATATAGTTCTTAAAAGTAGCCCTGGTGACTCAGAAGTAAGTGCTTGACTGCCGACTTAAAGGGCAGGCAGTCTGGATCCACCAAACATTCTTCTGGAGAAAGATGCAACTGATGGCTTCCAGTCATATTATCAACTTGGAGAACACTATGGGGCATCTCTACCTGGTCCTTCAGAGTCACTACGAGTCAGAATCAACGCTACAGCGCTGAGGTGTTTAGAGTTC